TTTTCAATTGAAGGAGAAACCTTCATCGTTAGTCTAGAAAATGATGAAGAAGACCCCGTAAGTGTTAAAGAAGCACTAACAGGACCTGCTAAGGAAAAATGGCAAAAGGCCTTACAAGAGCAAATGGATTCCATGGAGTCCAACCAAGTATGGGAATTAGTTGATCTACCACTTGGCCGAAAGGCAATTGGGAGCAAGTGGGTTCTCAAGTACAAACATAAGGCTGATGGATCAATTGATAGGCCCAAAGCAAGGTTAGTTGCCAAAGGGTATACACAACAGGAAGGAGTAGTATGGAGACACCTTCTTGCTTGTTGTACGTTTCAACTCGATACGGCTGATACTGGCTGTAGTAGCAAGTGTAGACTTAGAGTTACATCAGATGGATGTAAAAACTGCTTTCCTAAATGGAGAACTAGATGAAGAAATCTATATGGAACAGCCTGAGGGCTTTATACATAATGGGAACTAATAAAAGGTTTGTAAATTCTTGAGATCCATTTATGGACTCAAGCAATCATCTAGGCAATGGTACTTAAGGTTCCACAAAGCTATAAGCTCCTATGACTTCAAAATGATCGAGGAAGATCACTACGTTTATATCAAGCGGTTTGGAGATAACTTTGTCATTCTATCCCTCTATGTTGACGACATACTCCTAGTTGGTACCAATCTTAAACTAATATATATGATCAAAGGGTGGTTATCCTTGAACTTCAAGATGAAAGACATAGGCGAAGCAGAATATATCTTAGGTGTTAAGATAAGAAGAGATAATTCTAGAAAATTGCTGTTATTGTCACAAAAGGCATACATAGCAAAGATTCTTGAACGTTTCAATACGAGAGACTATAAGCCTATGGATACCCCTATGGTTAAGGGATATAACCTAAGCGAGGAAATGTGCCCTATAAAACAATACAATATAGAATGTATGAAGAGAGTCCCATACTCAAGTGCTGTTGGCAGCCTAATGTACGCCATGTTGTGTACCAAGCCAGACATATGCTTCGCAGTTGGACTTATGAGCTGATTCCAATCCAATCCAGGAGTAAAACACTAGGAAGCTGTAGAGAGAATTATGAGATATCTAAAAGGAACCATGGATTATGAGTTGTGCTATCAAGGAAACAGCCTTCCTGCAGAGGGTTATTCCGATGCTGATTGGGCAGGAGACCTGGACAAGTGACACTCGACGTCAGGCTATGCTTTCCTACCGAATAACGGAGCAATCTCCTGGAGTAGCAAGAAACAAAGGTGTGTGTCTCTTTCATCCATGGAAGCAAAATATGTAGTATGTTCTGTAGCTGTACAAGAAGCTATGTGGCTCAAAAGATTCTTAGTATGATTGGGAATCCATGGTGGAAGTGAGGGACCAACTCTGATTCACTGCGATAGTCAAGCAGCAATAGCCTATGCAAAGGACCCTAAGTACCACAATCATACTAAGCATATAGACATAAAATATCACTTTGTAAGGGATATGATCACTAAGAAACAAGTGACAGTTCAATACTTGTCCCCTCATAAGATGTTGGCAGATCCCCTAACCAAGCCTATAGCTAGAGATCTTTTTGTCAAGCATGTAAAGGCCTTGGGCATGCGTAGAGCATGATGTATTGAACTCCTTTTTCCTTTTGATCCTTTTTCTTGTTCAAATACGCAGGCACAAGGCATGTTGTACTGAACTTTTTCGTTTCCTCTTACTTAGTAATTCAATGCATTTTATCTAGTTCAAGGAAATTTTCTTGTATATACATTTGTGTATTTATACATACATAAGCACGAGGTATGCAATACTAATATGTCATACAAGTCACAAGGGTGGCTCACTCACACGAGCAACCGCCTCGCTATGTTCTCATGGGACATAGAAGATTTGATAGCAGATGATCACCATGAGATGGTAGAGAAGAATCAATGCACAAATGTCGCCTCAACTAGACTGAGATGAGACCCATAAAAGTCTAGGCCGAATCATGGATAATGTGTCATCCATGAGACCTGTAGCTAGACAAGGAACTTTTCACTTGTAAGACATCATCTATAGTTGTGATGAAAGAGTTCCTGGTTCAAATGTTGGAGTACATTTGGAACTTAAGTCTGTACGTGCTACTAAAACCAAAAGCAACATACTCTACTCAATGGATCGAGTACCATAGCATGCAATTCATACTATATGAGCTCACTCAAATCTGCAACATGGAGTGTAGATGGAAGATCCCTGATCCATTACGGTGTGAGTCCCATAAAGGAAATAAACCTTTCGTAATGCCCTTAAGACTTAGACAGCATCACAAGGGTTTGGTTTAATAACAGCTACTCTAGCCTAAACCTCCTGGTCAAGAATGATGCGATTTAACTGGTCAAGACTGGGAAAGCGATTATGCCAAATCTAAATGATGAATAGTCAGAAAGAAGATTTATCCTGAAGTACACATCTACGTTGGTGTCTGTGACATGTCCCTTGCAAGTTGAACAGAACAACTAAGCAAGTGTTGATAAAGGTACACCATAAATAAAGTAAACAAAATAAACTCGAGAGGGACTAGATATGCCATAAATAAAGTGTATGGATAAAACTGGTGCATTCGAGGCAACAAGTATACAATTTACTGGTACACCAAGGCTGTTCTTGTGTGCTGGTCCTGCATAAAGGACTCCTAGTGCATAAGTGCCCGAATCAATGACGTCATGCCCATGTGGTCACGGTAGACACCTAGTATGAAGCAATGAAAGATTTAGCTATCGCACGATGGGCAGCCCATCAAGTGCAAGTGGGAGATGTTGGATTTTGGGCTTAGATCCGCCCTTGATGGGCTGGATTATTTGACCGAGTATAAAGAGAATATACCAGTCCAAGCGATGTTGTGATATGTTTGACTTGGTCAAACACCCAGAATCATATCCAATTAGTTACGATATAAATCTAATTGGTTTATAATAAATTAATCAATTTATATTGTATAGATTAAATATATATTAAATATATATATTTAGAATTAATTGTGATTGATTCTGGATTTGAATTCAAATATCATGATATTATGAGATAAGGATATATTTATATATCCTATCTCAGATTTTATCTAATGGGCTCAATGGATATTTTTGGCTACCCAAATACCCCTGACAAAAACTATAAATAGAGGCTTTCTCCCATCAGTTCAAATCACTCCAGTAGTTGAGATTTCCTACTATCTCTCTCTCTCTTATTTCTTTCTTGCAAAGAGGTGCTCTGCTGTGTACTTAAAACCTTAGACTTTTATAGTCTAGCTTAAGTGTGAGCTAACAAGATCCGACCAACCCGGTACGTTTCTGATCCATTGTCTAATTATTCTAACAGTTGCAAAGCAGATCGTTTCTGCTGGCACCAGCAAATCATGTATGCCTAATCCTATATATTAAAGAATCCCGCCTATCTATTGAGTTCTTGCATTTGCTCAGGGGATTAGCATGCTTCTGAAATTTGCGAATTCGAATAATTCGTTTTAGCTAAGTTAACGGGCCCGCGTCGGGAATTTCCTCGTTAGTCATTGTACTTTTTTCTGGGGATATTACAACGGGTATTTCAGTTAAACTAGGCTTGTGAGTCCTGCAGTTTCTTATAGTTTATATATACACATGTGTGTGTGTCCACGCGCGCGCGCTCCCTAGATTGTACCTTCTGCTAACTTATAGAGACAACAAAAATTGTTGTATAGTTTTCACCAAAAAAAAAAATTTGTTGTATAGTACTTGTTGAGACTGGAACTAGAAAATATTGGTAAGGGGCGCGGAAGGTAAAAATAAAATTTTTACGGGGCCAAAGTTAGAAATTTTTCAAAAACTCATCTGATCTACATCTAATATTACAAAGGAAGTAAGGTTTAGGGGATGCGGCTTCCCCTGTTTGGGATAGCCTGGCCCCCTTCCTAAGTACATGATACTCATTGTACATCTGAGGGAATAGCTGCACAATTCTTAATCCATATATTTGTACGATGGCTTTAATAATTGGCATTAAACGGTGAAACTTTTACAGTTAAAATGCCCTGTCTATGAACACTTGATAACGGTTTGAATCACCAAAACAAAAAGAAAAACCAAAAGCAAAGATGTTAGAGTTTTACATGCTGCTTGTGGTGCTTGAGCATTCTAGTATGACATTTCAACTACAGATGTCTCTGGATTTATTTTAGTAACATTTGTGCCTTTTTCATATCTAAAGGAGAAGTGTAACTATTGACACTCGAGGAGTTTCATTTAATTATGTCTAAATAACGGAAACTAAAGTTAGGCCAGTAGGAGAATAAAAGAAGTACCTATGGTGACTTGTCAGAGTTGGAAAATATTTTATTCATTATGTCAAAATGGAAGCGAGTGCCTTATGGAGTTGAAGTTTGACTAGGCGTGATGCGCTGCTGTTAGGAAAATAAAATTGACAAGGGAAAAATGTGTTTGTAGATCACTGCAATTCGGTAGTGCAAAGCATGAGCAGTTGATACTGAGTATGCTCCACTTGAAGTAAAAACACAAGCTAAGCAATACGGCAAACGAAGGGAAGAAGTGAAAGTTCCTAAATGCTAGTAATCTCATTAAAAGTGCTCTTCAATATCCATGAGATTTATTTCACTTGGGCATGTGCACCTTTTGAATTGTTGACTTGCCCATTCATTACTTCCTCTTGCTTTGCTCAATTATAGGTGTATAGCTTACTGCTTCATTAGCTTTGTCTATATAAGTGGCCGTGTCCAGGTGACATAAGTTATTGATCCTAGAAGTAAATTATATCATCTATCCATTTAGGGGGTTGTATTCCGAAAACACCAGACAATAAATAAAACCAGCTTGAAATTTTTCTACAACTCATTGCCATTTCTAGTTTAAATGGTTTTCTTGCAAATTTCCTGCATCTATCAGTTTGGTCATCATTCATTGTGTTGCATGTTAACTTGTCATACTTGTATTTTATCTATTTGTATAAATACAGATTTGACTATGTAGTCTATCATTTGCAGATGTAGTACGAATGCTTCTGCCTAGCATTGTTCCACCATCTTACAAGGGTTCAACTGTTCGCTATTTTTACTATGTTAAAAGTGCATTAATGGGAGAGTGGCTAGTGATGGAAAATGGGCAATCATTTGCAGAGTCTGTACAAGATGTTACTAATATGGTTGGTTTTCAATAACTTGTGCTAATTTATGATGCAGTGTATTTTAAACAATTTTATTTTCATATTAAGGACTTGTAGTTCATTTTCAACTTGAACATATATATTTTGTCTTCGTTTCCTATATTTTGAGATTAATGCCTATAAACAAAAATTAGTTGAGGAGCGATTTTGTGACCTCTCTTTGGTTATTTGCTCAGTCTTTTCTAAGGAATCATTTTGTCTGGTTTAAGAAAGTTTGACACACTCTTGCTTTGTTGAGATTATTAAACTATCCGTTTCTTATAGATTTTCTCTTCAGGAGGCTACCATTTGTTGCTTCTTATGTTATCAATAAAAAACTTATCAAGTCTAAAACCTTGGGTTCTATAAATGGCTCATACTATTTGAGATATTTTTGTGATGAATGTCACAAAATGTTAAAGTAACATCTTGGTAAGTTACGTACAAAATTCTTGAAGAAAATGATCCGTCATGTGATTTTCTCTGTATAAATGGGAATATAGATCGTTGGCAAAGTAATAGAAGAGATTTTCTGATGCAGGAGCTGAGAAAAGACCTGTTTTGAAGTTATGGCAGATACACTCAGCTTGAGAATTTCCATTGCCTGATTTTAAAGGCTTTTTGATGGAACTTGCAGGATTCCTCTCACATTCCATAGAACTTGCTAGGGCTGCTCCTTCTGTATATTTTCCTTTTCCTTTCGAACTTTAGCTGTTCTATTGGATGTGTGCTTCTTTTAATACTTAACTACTGCTGATCCTGGAATGACAATCTATCCTAATTGTGGATGACACAATAGAACCATTCCAGATCAAGTTAACGTGATATACACCAGCTAAGAGGTCAAGACAACATCAAAGCTTAAACCTCTCTCTTGAAGCCATGGGTACAATATAAACAAGTTTTCTAAGAAATTGTCTTTCTATTTTTAGTATATACATGATGATGACATGAATGATGACGATATCTTCATTAACACCAACTCCACATATATATCAATTTATTTTATAATTAAAAATGTTTTTAAATCATTATATTCTTAATTGTTATTATATAAATTTTTGTAAGATTATAATTTAAAATAAAAAAATTTAAAATTAGTGACGGAATTGCGACGGAATAGAACTAGCGACGGAATTAGTGACAAAAACTTCTGCGACAAACAATTTAGTGACGGAAATCTCTGACGGAAAAAATTCCGTCGCTAATTCCGTCACAAATATTTATTGACAGATTTTCTAACGGATTAGCAACGGAATTTAGCAACGGACAAAAATTCCATCGCTAATCCATCGCTAATATTAGCGACGGGATTTCCGTCGCAATTCTGTCAGAAATTAGTGACAGAATTTGTTTCCGTTGCAGTTCCGTCAGAAATTAGTTATGGAATTTGTTTCCGTCGCAAATTAGCGACGGAATTTTTTCCGTCACAAATTCTGTCGCTAATCAGCTGTTTTTTTGTAGTGTTAGACTTTTTAGAGGACTTTGACATTGAATTTTCAGAATATTTAGGAGATGTTTGAGCTGCAATTGACATGTGTCATCAGTATTTGGTGGGTTAATGTAAAAGGGGAAAAAAATTGTATGATAGATTAAAATTACAAAGTGACAAAACCATCAAAATACATTTTTCTCCTAAAAATGTTATAACTTACAGAATTACTGGTTTTAAATAACTTTTATAAATTTCCTAAAATGTTCTAAAGTTGCTTATGATAAAATAAATTCAAAATTTAACAAAATTATGAAAAATATTTAAGATTTATATCAGATTATTTATCATTCAATTTATGCTGTGAAATTTACAAAATTGAAAGCTATATGAAAGTAGGGACATCAGTATCAAAACTAACCAAAATTTTTTACTGAGCTTAAAATTAAAAAACCGATAAAACCATCAAAACATATTTTTGTCCCAAAAATATTATAATTTACAAAACTACTGACTTTAATTACTCCCTCTGTCCCTTTTTATAAGAAACAATCTTTCTCATAGTGGTGTCCTTAAATATAAGAAACCAATCTTCTTTGTCTGAAATTTTAAACTGGTTTTTCTACTTTTACTCCCATTAAATATATGCCACTTATTATCTCTCTGTAATAAATTTTCACTCATTATCTCTCATACACTCTATTTGCAAACAAGGGTATCATCGGAAAAATGTGTGTGTGTATATATATATATTACACATTTATTGCTTTTAACTAAAACATTTTAAACATCATGATTTTAGTAGTTGTTTCTTATAATAAGGGACGGAGGGAGTATTTACTAAAATGCACAAAAGTTTCTTTATGATAAAATAAATTTGAAACGTAGCAAAATTTATGAAAAGTGTTCAAGATTTATAACAATTATTTAATATTAAATTTACACTCTGTAAAGTAACACAATCATAAGCTACATAAAACTGGGGTATCACAACTAAGCTGTTTGGGACAATTTTAGTTTAAACAATATCCAGGAGATTGGATCAGAATAACTTTTAGATTGACCATTGGAAATTCATTTTTCCACCTAATTATTCTCGTCATCTAGTAGGTTTAGATGCCAAGGTTGGTACACCTTGAGTTTGAGAATATCTCTCAGCCTGGTTCATTTCTGTCTCTGTCTCTCAACTTCCTGCCAGAATTATTCCTACCCATCTCCCCCCCAGTTTTCTCCGCTCTGGAATAGTGTTACTTAGAATATCTTACTTCTGGCTTGTTGGAGGTCTTCCCTGTGATGTTTGAAGGGATTTGCTTACACTTGCGAGTTAACCTGGCCCCTCACATAAGTAAATCAGTCTTGGCTTGAGAATCCTTTTCAGGAGGTTTTGAATTTTCTCACATTTTGGTTGCACTTTAAGCCATGATTAAGTATATTCTTTGGCGCAGAAGGTCTTATTGTAGGACATCTTTCTCTTTTCTCTGTTCAACGATATCTTGTAAAATAAAACCAACCCTTACAGGTTAGAGCAAATGATATTAATGATGGTTTAGAGGAAGGATATGACAGCTCAAGGGATGAAGTATCCTCCGTTTCCTCATACAACCCTGTGAAACATAATCTGCGCAGAAGCTTTGGAAGTTCATTATCATTGCGTTCTTGATCAGCAAGATCTTTAAGCAGGGATCCTTTGGAAGGTTCTCGGATGAGTTTATCTTCACAAATGGCACTTGCCCGACTCTCTGTGGCTGAGGTTTTACATGATTCTGCTGCTGCTGAGCTACATAAGTATCTGCAAATCAGTTTTAATGAAACTTTTTTTTTTTTTCTTTGAATAGGTTTAGTCCTGAAACTCACAGAAACTATCTTGTTTCTTAGTATCCTTGATGAGAAGGTTTGCTTTGCCAAATATCAATTTATTGTTGAAACAGATGTCTTATCACCTCAGAAGTCATTGTCAAATTGTCTCCCCAAGTCACCAACAGAAGTTCAGAAATCCTTTTTCTGCCGAAGAAGATGCAGGAGTTGCCTCTTCATCAGAAGCTGCAGCCATTAACTCTGCTTCATGTAAATTCTTTGCATTTGTTTTTGTTTTCCAGTAATATTTTGTATGTTTGAGCGCCTTATTAGACTCAGCATGGTGTTTTGAACTTGATCATTCATGATTTGAGACGTGTGGTTCATCACCAATTGAAATTTCAAATATTATATTCTATCTGCGAATCATGGAGTCCCTGTAATTGTTGTAGAATTAAGTCCTATTTCAGCGATCTATGAAGAAAATACATTTCAGTCTGGTTTTGCACCATATGAGTGTGAGATTTACTGATTTCCTCCATTTTTTTCTCACAATTTTAATGTAAAATAATTAGCGTGCTACAACCTATGGTTTCGATTTTCTTCACTTTGCCGCCTCTTTATTTAAAAGTTGATGCAAGAGTGTTTCTGTGTAATCATAATATCATAAAGGACGGAGCTAGGCACTATAAGTTAGTTAGATAAATAGAAATATGACTGTTAGTTGGAATAGTGGGGCACATGAAATCTATAAATAGGTTGCCTACTTTGGAATTCAGATTATGATTGAGTAATAAACAGTTGACTATTCAGTTGCATTTTTGATATACTTTGGACTCGAGTGAGAATTTTGGGAAGTGTGGTGTCTGACTGGAAGAGAGGAGTTAGGGATTATGAAGTGGATGTGGGAGAAATTTGGGAATGGGGACGGAATTTTGGGTGTTTGCGCCTTATTGGGAAGGAGTTGAGGACTTTGAGATGAAATTGTGATAAATTGACTTGGATTTTCTGTTTGATATTTAAATGAATTAACGAACAACTCAGTGTAATGCTAATAAATCAAGTTTAGGATGGCTCAATGTCAACTTTTGAACAACAGCTAGAATATTATAATTTACCCCTTGTTTTTAAAGGGAAAAACTCAGGTGTAGGTTGTATCGCATTTTTTTAATCATCTTGCATTGATTTCAGAGGTCACCTCGCTTATTTTGTTTAAAAGAACTTTAAATTAATTTCAGCAGTGAATTATATTTTTTTAAATCACGTGACAATTTGTGTTACTTAATAGCTTGGACATTTGGGTGTATGGCTATAATCAAATGACTTCACATGGTATGAAACATCTGTTATTAATGTCCTTCATTAATGTTTGCCACTTTTGCTTGACTTAATTTGCATGTGAAATATGCATGTCAGAATACTTCTAAAAATAGATTATCCCTGTTTTAAAATGTAAGCCTTCTGCTTCCAGATGCAACAACTATCTGGTTACCTAATTTTTTGCAAACATTTTCTGCAGCAGAAGGCTTCATTAGAGGAAGGTCATATAACATCCGGCTGGACGACCAAGTTCTGCTTAAATTTTCGCCAAAAAATTCCGACTCCAATTATTACTTCAGTGATATGGTAATAAAAATCATGGTTTATATCAATTATGTTGAAGCAAACGTTATAATAACCAATCATGGACAATTTCATGTTTTAGATAGGTGGGACTCTAACCTTCTTTCATGAAGAGAGAGCTAGGAGATGCCTTGAGGTTTGTCTACAAACTGTGGAGCTTTAAGCTGACTATGTTGTGGTTGATGCTTGAGATTTTTCAAACACTATTCTATATGCTTATGCAGGTCTCAATAACACTGGAAACTTCAGAAACTATAAATCGGAGATTTGTCCACCCTTCTAGAAAGCATTCCCCCACAATCACAAAGGTATTTACTTTTTTTGCAGATGGAGTGCTCACAGCTTTAATTTAGTTGATGAACTGCACATTTTTAGTTTCTCATGCTTGATGCCGCTTCTTTTCTTGGTGTTGAATAACCCAATAGTCTTGAGCATTTCATTATTTTCTTGGAGGAAGGTTAGATTTTGTAGATAGGGCTTTTCTTTTCTTTTCTTTTTTTTCCCCGGTTTGGTTAAGAATAATTGGGCATTGTTTTCAAGCCTCTTCATGTTGCCTTAGCTGAAAGATTCGTTCATTTAGTAGGGGGTTTTCCGCTTTTTCCCCACTTCATGGTGAAAGTCCATCTGGTGTCTTTCTTGCCTTTGCAATAGAAACGTTTAGTATCCTGTGTCAAGTCTTTGTGAAAAATTGAAGATGAGAGCTGACTCACGATATCACCATTAAGTTCTTTCTATGTGCATATGTTAATGATGTTGGCTTCTGATACATTTGTTCTCGCTTGTTTTTTCTTAGGTCCAGAGTGACCATTATGAAGTTGTTGCCGATTTGGTGCAGACAAGTTTTCTTTTCTCTATCTCCATGGATGGGCCAATGTCGTTCTCCACTCCACGTGTGTCAGTGCAATGGGTTCTTAGATTTGAATTTTATGCTACTCCAAAGAATTTGGATTGGACCAAGTATGAATTTCGACCTTGCCTCTTTTTTTTTTTTTTGGTTTAAGCCCTAAAACACAAATTTCCATTCCTTTATGCATCTGGTTTTTACGTGCACTTGTCTCTACGGCTGGATCCATTTTATCGATCAGTCTAGGCGTTGTGTTCATGTGATGTTGAACCATCAATTTTCACATCTTTATGTAATGTTGAGCATTCACGTATTAAATTGTAGTTGGCAGCACGCCCGGCACACTTGTGCTAAGGGCTTCTGGTGCCAGGGCATGCCGACTTTGTCACTGCAATATTCATTGGAACCAATTAAAAGACATATCCCATGCACAACGATTTAAACTGCTAGTAAAACTCAACCATTTTCTATATATATATAGACAATATGAGGTATTTCTCACTTTCTCATGTTCATCACAAATTCACAAATAATAAAATAGCACAATCCACATGCAAAGAGTATAGAAAGTTATCAAGTCTCTCTGATTCTGTCCTACATAAATTGTTCAAAGAGAAAAGAAGGATAATAATGATGGGAAAACGAGACTTGATCTGAGAGAGACAAAAATAGCGAACAGTGGTTGGAGCTGCTGCCTACTGAAGGGAGGACATAATCAGAAAGATGGAAAGGAATAATAAGGGATGAAATATAAGAAGTCAGGGTTTTTTTTTTTTTTCCTTCTTTTTTTTGGGGGGGGGGGGTGACAAGGGGCTGGCTGAGTGAATGGGGGAATATAGTTGTAACCGCTATAAAAATACCAAGAAATACCCCCAAGTTCACACCGTCGCAATTTTACTTGGGTTCATTGTGTTCTGCAACTGCAGAACTGGCCAGTTATCTATGGCAGTTGACAACAGGCGTTTGTTTGCACGATATAGAAGGCTGCCCTTTCATCTGTTTCCATATCTCATGGGATGAAATAAGAGGGTTTAATAGCATTCTTAGTTTTAAAGCACTTTAAACTTTTGAATTAGCCATTGATTGTATTTTAAGCCTTATGGTTTCTGAACCTCAAGTATGAACATCCTCTTCTGATTGAGGGAAGAGAAAAATGTGAATGGGTTCTTCCGATTACAGTGCACGCACCTCCATCTAGGACTTCTGGGACAAGACGCGAGAAACCTGTCTCTCTGGATCCCTTGTGGGTGCATAATTAAAGGCATAAAAAAATGTTTGTTCACTCTGAGCTCTCCCCTACCAATGCTATAAGTAGCTTGGTTCTGTCGCAAATCGCTACATCAAAATTCTGTTTGTCCTAATCCAATTTCCCCTGATACATTTGTTCCCATCAATTTTTATTACCACTCTATTAAAAATCGGAATCTTCTATTGAAAAGAAGAAATAACTTTGTTCTCCAACTTGCTTGCAGATGTTGAAACAAGAGATAATTATTCATAGTCACACGTATATAATGCATGAATCACATGCAAGAATCACATAATTTCAGATCACCATCGTGAAACTAAAAAGCTAGCCTTAAGAGGGAACTTTCATTCCACCAAACGTGGAGTACCAGAAGCAGAGTTCATAAACGCCATAGGCCAAACGGCAGAGGCATACACAAAAGAACAATAAAAGACATTAACCAATCCCTTCTCGATCTTCCTCAATCTCAGGACCTTCACAATGAGCATAATCATCACGAGAATCCTCAAAAGCGTGGGCAACACTGATGATGAACATTTGTAAGTGGACCGGGGAATGTATGATGATCAGTTGATTTGATTCTTGGCATCATCTTGATTGACTTGGTTGGCTTTGCCTACAAAATCGCTATACCAAATATCATAGCCTCCATAGAATAAAACAACAATGATCCTAACAACGAAGCCTACGATTTGACGAAGTACGGGAAGGCGACTCCTAAGTGGAAAGTCTCCCAAAATACGAATAAATATCATTAAGAAAATGGAAATGAATCCGATGACACTGATAATGTCTGCGACTATAGTGCTATTGCTCACAATCAAACGTATAGCAGCTAGAAATGCAACAGGCATTGCTATAAGGGCCCCATAAACAAATAACCTAGGGAGGCCATATGCTAGACATGCAAAACGAAGATCTCCAATTGGGACCCATAGAAGAATGATAGAACCAATGGTGAAGCTATACATAGCAGTAGTGTTAAAAGCCATGAATATCTTGAATAGGGTTTGATCGGCCAGAAGTGCCAAACCCCTTTGTTTTGGGATTGGGCCATCTGATCAGTAAAACGCACCTGGTACTGTGAAACCAGCTGCAAAAGTCACTGTAGCTGTGAGTATGGCCACAAGTATGAGTGTGTTGGCTTCATCCTTCACATTCCATTCTTTATTGATGGATGTTGTGAGTGGCACGCTCAGCATATTTGCCTTCGTGTCCACACCAGCATTATATAAAATTACATGTGCTAGAAACTGAAAGGTAGTCAAATATAAAAGGATCAGATTAGAACACTCACTCAAAAAGTTGAAGACAATATTGTATTTATTTCTCATTCTAATCCGATATAGGATCGTTCGTCGAAACTCAGTCCCCACACCTCCGCTCCGGTCACCAAAGCCCACATGAAAGTTGCATTCATTAGGGACCTGCGCGGTACAAGAAAAATAGAGGAGGAAAAAAAACAGAGAGAATTTTAATGAGCTCAACAGAGTTAAAAAACTTTTAATTAAATTTTTTTCCGCTTTTTATCAAAATTTCATAGCTGCACTTTTTAATTTTTTAAATTTAACTTATTAAAATTTTTTTCTCCACCTCAATTTTCTTGTACCAAAAATATTGGCTAAAAGACGACTCGAACCACCTTTCCGGCCAGCGACCCGAAGGTTGCATTCATCGAGTCAATGTCCAGACACTTATCTGCCAACTCTCAGTCCATAAAATGGAACGCATATGCTTTAGTTTGTTTCGATTGGATGAAAGCGTTGTTTGTTTGTTTCTTTTTTTCTCCTCCGGGCCAAAAATTAGGAAGAGAGAGAATGAGTTGTTGGCTTTTTCCCATGGCCATTAGATCACTAGCTATAAATCTTGACCCACGCAATCCTTGTCCTCAGTTTCTATTGGTTGAGAGTGTGCTTCTTGGCCGCGATTTACAAGTTATTCTCCCTTTAATCTTGGCTCCACATTTTTTTGAACACTTTATGGGGTCTTACTCAATGCACAAGAAAAATCTGTTACTCCGTCCCCCTTTTACAACCTTTGAAATAAATCATACGGATAAAAAAATTAGTTAAAATTAGTTAAAGATAATAAGTGAGTAAAAATTGAAAGTTTTTTCTTCAAAATATCATTATTTATGGGAAAGAGAGTATAAAAAAATAAAAATTATTATAATAAAGAAAACCATAAAAAAGAGAGAATATGTGATGGAGAAAGATTATACTAAAATATAATCTTCAAAACATTTGTTGTCTAGAAAATGATGTTTTGAAAAATAAAAAATAAATATGTTAACTATTAAAAAAAATAATGTATTAACTATTAAAATAAGTCTTTAATAAGGGCAAAATAAGAAATTTGCTACAAAAATCTAAAATAACTTACAAATGTTAATTATATTAGGGGATAAGGAGAGAATGATGGCTGCTGCTTATATAAAAAGACAGAGGGATTATAACCTTCATCCTTTCTTAAAAAATAAGGACTAAATACGCAATTAAGGTTGGATCAACGGTCAAATAAAAATATAAAATACTAGCTGCAATATTTAATATAAAACCCGGTTGATTTATTTGAGGAGATTAAAGAAGTTAATAAATTAACTTAAAATATTTATATTTATTATTTTTTTCTGAACTAATTTTTTATAATTTAATGATATACGTAAGTATTTTAGATTAATACTTATAAATTAATGTATCATTTAGATATTTTTAATTAATATATAAATTAATATCATGTAATATATACTGTAATTAACTAATTTAGTAGCTTTTTTAATTTTTCTAAATTAATTAAATGAGTTTTATAATAATAAACAAACCTATGTAGTATTGGATTACTCCCGTCTCAAGTTATGGCAAATCGTGATTTTCAAAAGTTATGAGTAAGGAAGGGTAATTTTGAAAAATATGCATCACATTTCAGAAAAATAACCGTATGCTAAGAAAAATAGAGGCTAATGGCTAGGACCAGATTTACGGCTTAATTGAGGCATAACTGAGAAAAATTACCTCAAAATTTTTTTAAATAATTATTAAAATTAAAGGATGATTAGTCAAACTCAATTGCAAAAAATTATAAGGAGGACTCATAAAATTAGAAAAGAAGAAAAATTATTTTCAAATTAATATGAATTTATAAGAATATTTTCATGCCATAGAAATGGAAATTTTAGCTAATTGAATATTTTATATGGTTTTACCCAAAAATAGGGCGATTTTTGAAAAATAAAGCAACATATTTAGAGATCCAATTTCAGGTTAAAAAAAAAAAAAGGCTATTCACTTCCTAAAAAATGTGAGTTCTTTATAGTTTCACAGTGATCATATGGCCAAATAATCTCCCAAATGCATTTGGAGAAGATTAATAAGATATTAATTGAGGAGTAAAAGTTTGTTAAAATAAGTTGTTGTGAAGAAGGAAACTCCATGAGTTTCTAAAAGTACAAAGGGGGCATGAGCTTACGCATGGAGGGAAGGAAGAAGAAAGGGAGAATTAGAAAGAAGAGCCAATAACAAGTGATATTTATAAAAGAGGACCATGAAAATTAAATTATTTAAAAGGACCAAATATTTAAATATGAATTTAAAAATACCATATTGTCCCTATTCAAACTTCCTACACTTTCTCCTATATTTCCTCATATATTTTATTTTTAAAACTAATACGAATTAATAACTAAATTAAACCTAATTTCTTAAACAGTTTACGTTTACAATCTATGTAAAAATCAATCAAAAAAATATGCAAAATTTTTTCAGTCAAGTAAAAATTAAAATTTTATTTTCTTTATAAAAAATAAAATTTTATTTTTAAAATTATCACAAATTTTAATTGAAAATAAAAGTTATATAATTTTTAGATTATTATATAATTTGTTATATACACATACTAAAAAATTCAAAGAAAATTTGTATAATTTATTTTTTATTTTATAAAAATTTATATAAGATTTAGAAATAAAAAATTTATGTAATGTTAAGAAGTTTAAAGAATTCAGATATCTATTATAATTGTATGCAAAATTTGTAACCACAATTATCTTTATGAGAGAATACTCAATTGTAATAAAAAAAATATTGTCAATACAAAATTTCAATCAATACCATAATAAATCACAATATAAACAATTGATAATAAGGTTTTTATTTTATTGTTTGTGTGGAGAATGATGCTTTTTTAATATCTTAATCTACTAATTACTAGAATATTAGGTAAAAATTTAGCGTATTTAAAATTAGTTTTTTTAAAAAGAATTATTTGCTAGGGATATATCCCTTTGTTGTAATTCTTTTAAGTGAAGTACAATTCCTTTTATTTTTGTTAATTTTTTGTATTTATATTTTATTTATATTAATATATTATGTAATTAGGTGACCTTTGTTAAATGATTTTGAGGAGGGGTCCTATAAAATTATAATAGATTGTTTGAATTCTTTAAATGTTTTATCATTATATGAATTTTTTATTTTAAATATGATATAAATTTCTTATAAAATAAAAATAAATTCTACAAATTTTTTGAATTTTTAGAATTGTGTATATAATATACTACATAATAATCTAAATTTTAGTAAAATTATATAAATGTTATTTTCAATTAAAATCAGTGTTGGTTTGAAAAATAAAATTTTAAATTTTTATCAAAAAATAAAAATTTAATTTTTACGTCACTGAAGGGTGTTTGCATTTTTTTAATTGATTTTTATACAAGTTGTAAATTTTCAGAGAAATCAGGTTTAATTTAGTGAAATTTATTAATTCATATTAGTTTAAAAATAAAATGTAGGGGAGAATATAGGAGAAAATGTAGGTTTGGATATGCACAATATAATATTTTTAAATTTATATTTGAATATTTAGTCCTTTTAAATAATTTTAATCTTTGTGATTCTCTCCTATAAATATCATTCCCCGTCGGTCCCTCTCTAATTCTCCCAAGAAGAAATTGTGGCCATTGCACGGAAGTCATCAAAATAATCATTTTTGAAACGAGGTGCGTCAAGCCTTATTATAGGGTCACTTATCTATAAGTTGTTTAGCCATTCAAGCATAATCCTAATAAGCATGGAGGAAGGGAAGAAAAATTACTCTACGAGTCATTAAAATAATCATTTTTAAAAGTAGTTGTGTCACACCGTAATCTAAATCCATTTATAGAGCTGTTTAGTTATTTACTCTTAGATCACATGAACTATATATAATTTTTTTCTGTAGTGAAGGACAATTTTATTCTAATAAAAAGGTAAAAAGATATATAAGTACATATTGGACTTCATCAACTAGAAAACCATGCTGAAGAACATAAAAGTCCTAGACATTAAAATTATTAAGGGAAAATCATAAAAATTGCAAAATCACAAATTGGGACCAGTTTCAACACTTTCATAGGTTTTGATAACAATTACATTGCAAATGACAACACATTTTTGACAAAATATGTTATTTGCAATTTCGTAATTTTCGTGGTCTTTTTTGTGATTTTTCCCAACATAAACAACAAGAAGGAAGACAGAACCATGACTCAAGAAAAACCAAACTTATCATCAATGAAAGTAAAACCTTTGACAATTGGAGGGATAAAAGAATACAACAACTAGTTCCAACATCATCATCAGGACATAAGTAGGTAGTACATCTTTTGAACAATCTTCATACTGCACCCACATTCTGAGAAAACCATCCAGAAGGAGTTGATGATGAACAATATATAATTGATGTATCATACAAAAATCACATGGAAGAATCACATAATTTTAGATAAACATCATGAAACTAAAACCGTGTAAGCATAACGGGGTGGTCAGAAGGGAAGCTACTTCTAGAAGTGTAGCCACTTCCATCTGAGTCGATTTCGCTTCTTGCAGCATCAACTTTACCAACTGCTCGGTCAACAACATCACTCCCTCCATAGAACAAAATAATAATGATCCTAATAAATAAGCCTGCAATTTGACGAAACACGGGACGCCGATTTCTAAGGGGAAAGAATTCCAAAACACAAACGAATATGATGAAGAAAATGGAAATGAAGCCATTGACACTGATAAAATCTGCAAGCAAGGTGTTCTTGCTCACAATCAAACGTATAGCAGCAAGAAACGCAACGGGCATTGCTATAAGAGCTACATAAACAAAGATCTTAGCAAGTCCATATACTCCTGCAAAACGAAGATCACCCAGTGGAACCCATAGAAGAATCACAGAACCGATGGTGGAACTGTACATAGCAATAGCGTTGAAAGCCATGAATATTTTGAACAGTGTTTGATCGGCCAAAAGTGCCAAGCCCCTTTGTTTTGGGATTGGACCATCTGATGAGTAAAACCCACCTGGTACTGTGAAACCAGCCGTAAATGTCACTATGGCTATGAGTATGGTCACAAGTATGAGTGTGTTGGCTGCGTCCTTCACATTCCATTCTTTATTGGTGGATGTTATACATTGTATGGCCAGCATATTTGCCTTCAAGGACACACCAACATTTTCTAAAATCGCATCTGCTAGAAACTGCAAGTTAATTAAATCAAGAGTTAATATAATTTTTGGTCCTTGAAATTTTGGTTTATTTTGGTTTTTGTCCCTCAAATTTCAAATTCACAGTTTTAGTTCTTGAAATTTAATCTATTTTAAAATTTTAGTCCCTAGAGGTGTAACAGTGTTGAAATATACTAACATGCCATAAATACTGTTAAAGTGGTGATATGAACTCACCAGATGACACCTAACTGGATTTTGTATGGATGTGGATAGTAGAAGGAGAAGAAAAAGTAAGTCCTCAAAATATAACTGTTTAGTCCCTTCTTTTTTTAATTCTCATTGTTTGTTTTAAGAGCTATTCACTACACTGCATTTTAGAACTTATCTCCCTTTATATAATCATTCTCTGTGTTGCATTTTGAGAACGTATTCTTTGTTTTTTTTATCTATTTCCAAACAAGTCTAGTTAAGTGCTATTTGGTGAGTCAATATCATTACTTTTAATGTTATTTATGAAACTTTAGTGTATTTTAACATTGTCATACTTCCAGGGACTAACATTTTAAAATAGACTCAATTTCAAGAACTAAAATCACGGGTTTAAATTTTGAGAGAACAAAAACCAAAATAGACCCAAATTTCAGTGATCAAAGATCATATTAACCCCTTAGATCAACAACAAGGATGTGTTTAATTACTTATAAAACAAGATTATATTCTAGAATTAAAAACTATGTAAAAGCCATGAAAATAGACTGTGTGGTTGATACATATTATTCGAATCATACCTCTTGACATGTCATTGGATGTTTACACTTCATCCTCACAACATCTCGAGCTGTGAAACCTTCGTTACTCATAATGTTCACATCAAACATTTTGTGTTGTGACAGAAGGAGTAGAGTCCAAAGACGCAATCCTCTTGAAGCCAAATGTAAGGGAGTATTTCCATTTACATCCCTCTCATTGACGATGTCATGATGAATCTTTGGGTGCTTTAGCAGATGTCTTAACATATTAGTTTGTCCCTTCATTGCTGCAATGTGAAGAACGTTCTGACCTTTATGATGCAACCAAAGTCCAGCATTAGGCCACCTTATTTGAAGAAAACTTTGACCACTTCTAAACTTCCCTTTTTGCAGGCTAGGTGAATTGGAAGATCGCCATCTGAGTTTCGTTGAAAAGCAATCTTTCGAGAACTTTGCAACATTAAAAAAACTCCATCCACGTAACCAGCATATGCTGTATAATGAAGGGGAGTGTTCTTTTTCTCATCTCTTTGATACAATAGCTCTTTTCTTGCATCAACTGTTGTCATCAATAGATCTTCACGGAAAAAAAATCAAACACATATTAGGGAAAAGTAGGTGTGTTCATGAGACAGGATGAAACAGACAATTCCATCCTAGTCCTGTCTGATAATTAGGACAGGACGGCTTTTCCATCCCATGTGCCATTCTGTCCCAATCGAGATGGGACATAATTGGGTACAGGACAAGAATGTCCCATCTTTTTTTTTTTTTTGCATTTTTTTCCAGTTTAAAAACTAACTATACAATAAGTATAAGAACTTATAATAAAAACTATAGGAAGAAAATAGGAAAAAAAAAACAAAGAAAACAATGGCAAAGAAAAAGTGTTGTAATCTTGAGAATAAAAAATAAACAAACTTAAAATGTTCACTGCAAACAATATCATGTAACACACATAAAACAACTTATAAACAAATAAAAAAATAACAATTGATAAATATAATTACCAAAATGCTATTACAATGATAAATAAAATAAATTTATAACAATTAAAAACAAAGATAATATATTGGGATGGGACTGGCACGGGACATCCCATCCTGTTCCAAAAAAATTTTGTCCTCTTCCGCTTTCGTCTCAAAATGTCTGGAATGGAGACAAGACATTGAGATAGGACACAGTTGAATGTCCTTGGGAAAAAGTGAAACAAACATGAAATTAACTACTTCACGAGTATGCTTACAGGTATCTCTTTCTGATATAGTAGCATGAAGTGGAGAGTCGCCATTTGAAATATCCTTGCCTGAGGGTATTGGAATGTCCAAGAGAGAACAAAGAACATCCCTAACGCTTGTTAGGGCTGCTAAATACATTGGCGATTTACAGCCATAAGCGTAGTTCCATGTGGTAAGATTACTTTGCTTATGTGCCGATAGAAGGAAACGAACCACAGAAGAATTCTTGCTCAAAACAGCTTCGCGCAAAGCTGTCATCCCATAATTGTTGCGTAACATTATAAACTCTGCTTTATCCATAGATACAGCCTCCTCCTCCTCATCATCATCAGAAGTCAACATGAAATGTTTTTCCATGGCGAGAATGTTCTTGATTCCGACAAGATTCTTAGCTCTTGCTGCAACATGAAGCGGAGTATCGCCTTTCATATTTGTCTGGTACAAAAGCTTAGGATAGTGAAAAGTAATAAGCCTTAAAACTTGTTTGCTCCCATGTTGGGCTGCAACATGAAGCAACGAATCACATGTGGTAGTGACATGATCGAAAATGGTGGCCAAGCCAACCTTATTTTCTTCACATAATTGCTCTAGTACATAAACAAATCTATCTGCATCTGCATTTTCATCAGACGCCACCTCGTACAACTCGAAACACATAACATGCCCCTTGTTGGCATGAAATGGAATATCATCCTCAATCGATGAACTGAGCTGCCTTTTCATCAGTTCATGCATCTTCTCGTTGCCAGGAAACTGTACATAGTCGGACTGACGCTTGGTCTCTACCCTCTGCTCTGAAATATCCCCCATCATTTGGTTGGGCATCGATCCGTCAGTGGCCACAACTAAGGTTATTTCACCAGAACTTGAATCGCCCATTGCAGCTAGCTGGCTAACAGCTTCAATCAAATGCAACCCAAAGTGTTATTTCACCAGAACCCATTTAATTATGAAATTGGATCATCCTTCAATTTTAATCCTTACCGTTCACAGTACTATTCACTCGTCATTGTACTCCCGTCATTATTGCATGCAATAATAATGCATATGCAGGGCAATAATGTATATATGGAACTATATGATCGGTCATCATCAAGGTAATTACTGAAGATGTACTGAAATTTTAAAACCCCATCAGAACTGGTACTGCCACTGGCGCGGAAATGCACAAATTTTCTTTGCCCTTTTTTTTTTGGGAATAAAAGAAATGCGCAACATCAATAATGGGTTGACTTGATATACATTAAAAATTGCCAAATATCTGAAGTAAATAAATGTATTCTACTTGCTACTCAAATTTGTCCATTTTTGTGCTAAAATAGACATCGTTGTTGTAAATAAATGTTCACTTAGAGTTTTGGCAGCGGCTTCTTTAAACACTTGAATTTTTCTTCCAAGTTCTCTGCCTTCATCACCTTCCATTAATATTTTCACAATTCTTGCAACTTCCTTTCTCGTTACAATCCCATTCTTATTCTCATCACCTTTCGGCCTCACTGCAACCTTAAATTGCTCAGTTAGCATCAAAGCATTCATCCTCTACTCTGCAAATAATGGCCACACGATCATTGGCTTGCCATAGACGATAGCCTCAAGTGTTGAGTTCCAACCATAATGGGTCAAGAATCCACCAGTAGTTTCATGTTTCAAGAACTTCAATTTGTGGGGCCCATGATGGGACCAAAAGGCCTTGACTTTTGGTTCTCTCTCGAAACCCTTTGGGCAAGTAGTTGAGTGGGTCCTCCTCTTGTGCACTTAGATAAGCCTGTAGAGATATGATATGATTTGATATGTAAATATTATGTAATTATGATTAGGATTTGATAGGATATGATATTATCATAATGGGCCATTAATGCAGAGGCTCCTCTCACTTGTATATATATGTGTATATTCTGATCAATGAAATACAAGAGAATTATTTTCCATCTTATTCTATTTCCTACATGGTATCAGAGCGTGGGAATTTTCTCTCTAGGTGTTAATTTTCTCTCTAAGTGTCCGTACAGTCCGTACACCTGCACTGTTCATCGACTTTCCGGCGGCGTCCGTACAGTCCGTGCGCTCTGCACTGTTCACTCGGCGTCCGTACAGTCCGTACGGTTTATTACTTTCTGGCGTTCTGTTTCGTTTCTGGCGCATCTCCGGCACGCTGTTTGTGCAATTCAGTTGTGTTTGCAGCTCCTTGTGTAGCTGTTGGCCTTTTCACTGCCTTGGTATTCATTAGGTAATTCAGGTATCGTGCTTTGTGTTCCTGTGTAACACTCTTTCGCATTCCCTTTGGTTAGTGCACTTCATCTATGGCGGAAGTTAAATCTGTCTCGGAGCTTGTCCCAACTATTACTAAAATTACTGATCACAAGTTGACTTGGGTAAATTATTTGGATTGGAGTAAAACCATTCGCCTCTATCTGCGGAGCATTGAGAAGGAAGACCATCTGACTGATGATCCTCCAACAACTGATTCCAAAAAGACCTGGTTGCGGGATGATGCACGGCTATTTTTCCAGATCCGTAATTCCATTGACAGTGAGATTATTCCCTCTATTAATCACTGTGAATTGGTTAAGGAACTAATGGATTATTTAGATTTTTTGTATTCAGGAAAAGGAAATATCTCTCGTGTTTACGAGGTCTGCAAAGCTTTCTATCGTTCTGAAAAACAGGATCGTCCTCTCAAAGCCTACTTTATGGACTTTAAAAGGATGTATGAAGAACTGAATGTGTTAATGCCTCTTACTGCTGATTTGAAGGTTCAGCATAAGCAACGGGAGCAAATGGCTATTATGAGCTTTCTTACTGGTCTCCCACCTGAGTACGACACAGTTCGGTCTCAAATCTTATCCGGATCTGAAATTTCTGACCTTCAAGATGTGTTTTCCAGAGTAATGAGAGCTGAGAATCTCTTGCCACCAGCTGCTAGTATTCCTACAAGTGCCTTGCTCAGTAAGGGCACCTATGAGACTCGTAATCCTATTGATAACCGCGGGGGGCCTACCCGTGGTGGTTCGAAGCAAGGGGGAGCCCCTTCTGACTCCAGTGGGGTAGTGTGTTATTACTGCAAAGAACCGGGGCATACAAAACGCACATGTCGAAAACTTCAGAATAAACAGCAACGGAATAACTCTGCCCACGTGGCTACACAAGCCAGTGACACAGTCACGATTTCTGCTGCTGAGTATGCCCAGTTAAAATCTACTACACCGTCTGTGAGTGCCGCAGCTACAACAGGTAATAATGCTACTGCCCTTGCTTCTTCTTCCTCAAAGTGGATCATAGATTCCGGGGCTACTGATCATATGACAGGTAACAGCCATCTCTTCTCCTCTTATAATGCTTTTGCCAATCCGTCAAGTGTTTCCATCGCTGATGGTTCCCAGTCTCAAGTTCTCGGTTCTGGCACTGTTAATCCCACACCCTCTATCCGTTTGTCATCTGTGCTAAATGTTCCTAAACTTGCTTTTAATCTCCTATCTCCCAGTAAACTCACCGTCAACTAAACTGTTGGGTCTCACTTTTTCCTTCTCATTGCTTGATACAGGATCTTTTGACGAGGCGGATTATTGGTAGAGGTTATGAATCTGGCGGGCACTATATACTGGATGATCGGGTGTCTCATGCGGTAGCTTGCGCTAGTAGTCATTCTCCCTTTGAAGTTCATTGTCGATTGGGTCATTTGTCTTTATCTTCTCTTAAGAAAGTTTATCCTCAATTTCAGCATTTGTCGTCTTTAGATTGTGAGTCATGTCAGTTTGCCAAGCATCATCGTCTTCCTTTAGTGTCTCGTGTCAATAAACGGGTTTCATCCCCTTTTGAGTTAGTCCATTCTGATGTTTGGGGTCCTTGTCCTGTAGAGTCCAAAGCAGGGTTTAAATACTTTGTTACATTTGTTGATGATTATTCCCGAACAACTTGGTTATATTTAATGAAACATCGTTCTGAATTGTTTTCCCATTTTTGTGCCTTTTGTGCTGAGATTAAAACTCAATTTAATGTTTCTATTCGCACCTTACGAAGTGATAATGCTAAAGAATATCTCTCTGCTTCGTTCCAATCTTACATGCTTCAAAATGGTATACTTCATCAGTCGTCTTGTGTCGATACACCAGCTCAAAATGGTGTTGCAGAAAGAAAAAATCGCCACCTACTTGAGGTAGCCCGTGCACTTTTGTTTCAAATGCAGGTTCCTAAACCATTTTGGGCTGACGCGGTCTCCACTGCCTGCTTCCTTATTAACCGAATGCCTTCCTCTGTTCTTGATGGTAACTCTCCTTTTTCTACCCTCTTTCCTTCTAAGCCTTTGTTCCCTATTGCTCCTAAGATATTTGGGTGTGTCTGTTTTGTGCGGGATGTACGGCCATCTATTTCAAAGTTAGACCCAAAGTCTCTTAAATGTGTCTTCCTTGGATACTCTCGGGTCCAAAAAGGTTATCGTTGTTTCTCACCTACTCTCAATCGTTATTTAGTATCTGCAGATGTCACCTTTCAGGAGTCCACACCATATTTCTCGCATTCTTCCCCACCTGCTCCACCTGCGGAGGAGGATGACCTTCTAATATACTCTGTCACCTCACCATCACTGTCGTCGCAAGCACCCGCTCCCGCACTCGTTCAACCCTTTGATCGTGTGTATACACAACGGTCAACGGAGATTACTACCGCCACGCCAGCTTCTATTCCTCCCTGGTCCGCCTCGCCCTCAGATCCTGAGTTGAGCAACACTGAACCTTGTTCTGACCCTAATCCTGAGACACCTCCTGTTCCAGACCCGGATGCCTCTCTTGATCTACCCATTGCCCTTCGCAAAGGTAAACGTACTTGTGCCCATCCTATTTCGTCCTTTGTTTCATATGACCGCTTGTCTCCTGTGTCCAGTTCCTTTGTTGCCTCCCTAGATACTATCTCTGTGCCCAGAACTATTCGTGAAGCCTTGGCCCACTCAGGTTGGCGTGCTGCAATGGAAGAGGAGATGGCGGCCCTTGATCGAGCTGGTACATGGACCCTGGTCGATTTACCGGCGGGTAAAAAGGCCATTGGATGTAAATGGGTGTTAACTCCGAAAACTAAGGCTGACGGCACACTTGACCGCCTTAAGGCTCGCCTTGTGGCTAAAGGTTATGCACAAACCTATGGCATTGACTATTCCGAAACCTTTTCTCCTGTTGCTAAGCTCTCATCTGTCCGTCTGTTCATCTCTCTGGCTGCTACTTATGATTGGGATCTACATCAATTAGACATTAAAAATGCATTCTTACATGGTGATCTTCATGAAGAGGTCTATATGGAGCAACCACCTGGGTTCGTTGCTCAGGGGGAGCATGGGAAAGTATGTCGCCTTAAGAGGTCCTTGTATGGTTTGAAGCAAAGCCCTCGTGCATGGTTTGACCGGTTCAGTACTGTCGTACAGAAATTTGGCATGAGCCAAAGCAAGTGCGATCATTCTGTATTTTATCAAAGAACAGCGGCTGGCATGATTCTCTTGGTGGTATATGTAGATGACATTGTGATCACAGGCAGTAATGGTTCGGGCATCTCGTCCCTCAAGTCCTTTCTTAATTCCCACTTTCAGACGAAGGATCTGGGCTCTCTGACATACTTTCTAGGTATTGAAGTTATGCGAAGCAAGAAGGGCATATTACTGACACAGCGCAAATATGTTCTTGACCTCCTGAAGGAAACTGGAAAGTTGGGAGCAGCACCGACCAAGTTTCCTATGGTTCACAACCCACTCCTTGACGCTGATGGGAGCATACCACTCGATGATTCTCTTGATGATGAGAAACGGATGCTTGAGGCTCAGAAGAGCAAACCATTTGAGAATCCTGAGAGGTACAGGAGAATGATTGGCAAGTTAAACTATCTCACTGTAACTCGTCCGGATATTACTTATCCAGTCAGTGTACTAAGCCAGTTCATGGCATCCCCGACTGTCAGACAGTGGGAAGCCTTGGAGCACGTGTTACATTATTTGAAGGGATGTCCAGGTCGTGGGATATTATACAAAAATCATGGCCATACAGACATTGAGTGCTTCTGTGATGCAGATCATGGTGGATCAAAGGCCACGAGACGGTCTACTACAGGATACTGTGTCTTTGTGGGCGGGAATCTGGTGTCCTGGAAAAGCAAGAAACAAAATGTGGTGTCCAGATCGAGCGCAGAGGCAGAATACCGAGCTATGGCACAGTCTGTATGTGAGATAATCTGGATATATCAGCTATTAAAGGAAGTTGGCCTCAAAACCACTTTGCCAGCAAAGTTGTGGTGTGACAATAAGGCTGCCCTACATATAGCCTCCAATTCTGTGTTCCATGAACGTACCAAACATATTGAGATTGATTGTCATTTTATCAGAGACAAGCTTAAGGAGAACTTCATCTCCACTGGATATGTGCGCTCTAGTGATCAATTAGGCGACCTTCTCACTAAAGCTCTAAATGGGACTCGTGTTGACTATCTGTGTGACAAGTTGGGCATGCTTAACATTTATGCTCCAACTTGAGGGGGAGTGTAGAGATATGATATGATTTGATATGTAAATATTATGTAATTATGATTAGGATTTGATAGGATATGATATTATCATAATGGGCCATTAATGCAGAGGCTCCTCTCACTTGTATATATATGTGTATATTCTGATCAATGAAATACAAGAGAATTATTTTCCATCTTATTCTATTTCCTACAAAGCCGAACTAGCCACTTCATTTGGAGCCCTCAACACCCACAAGAACTTGTGGCCACTCATTTCTAACTCAAAGGCTAGCTCTTCAAGCTGCTCTTGTGATAATGTTCCACCACTTCCAAAAGAGACGTATAGAACTGAGTTTCGCGGCTGATTTTCCAGCCAAGTTAAACACTCTGAACTAGACTCATTCATGTTTGTCGATCTTGTCTGTATAATAGGCCCCACAGCATAAACCAAAGGCCAGTTTTGATTATTTTCTTGTGGAGCTGTTAGTACCTCTTGTTCCAGATCTGCGAAGCTGTTCACTAAGATTCCATTTAGCAAATTAAACGAGCTTTTTTGCATCCATGGAGGACTGTTTTGTAAGCTCCACTCGATCTTTCTTGAAATTGATCTGGGAGATCTTTGCCTTGAAAGCTTATGCAACCTGCAGAAATTTTTAGACGTTAATGCAATCTTCAATTCAACATAAATTTTTTGGCCAAAAAAAAAAATTCAACATAATTTTACAATGCACGCAGAATAAGTATGTGAAACAGATCTCAATTTACATGAAAATGCTTTTAAAAGTATTTTTTGAGTCATTAAAACACATTTTTACTTGCTAATCAAATTTATACATGCTTGTGCTAAAATAGACAGCGTTGTCTAGATGAACCGTCTTCACTTAGGGCTTTAGCAGCAGCATCTTTAAACACTGGAATTTTTGTTTGAAGTTTTCTGCCTTCATCACCTTCCATTAATATTTTCACAACTCTAGCAACTTCCTCTCTCCTTACAATACCATTCTTATTCTCGTAAACTTTCGGTCTTATTGTAACCTTAAATTGCTCAGTTAGCATCACTGCATTCATCCTCTGCTCTGCAAATAATGGCCCCATGATCATTGGCTTGCTACAGACCATAGCCTCGAGCGTTGAGTTCCGACCACAATGAGTCAAGAATCCACCTGTGGATTCATGTTTCAGAACTTCTATCTGTGGGGCCCATGATTGGACCACAAACCCGTGGCCATTGGTTTTCTTTAGAAATCCTTTAGGCAAGTAATCAAGTGGATCATCCTTCCGTGCACTCAAATAACCCGAATTGGCCACTTCACTTGGAGTCCTCAAGACCCACAGGAACTTGTGGCCACTCATCTCTAACTCTAAGGCTAGCTCCTCAAGCTGGTCATTTGACAAAGTTCCACCACTCTCAAAAGAGATATAGAGAACTGGGTTTCGTGACTGATGGCCCAACCCTGTTAACCCTGTTAAACACTCTGAATTCGACTCATTTATGTTTGTCTTTCTTGTCTGTATAATAGGGCCCACGTGATAAACCAAAGGGTGGTTTTGATTACTTTGTTGTAGAGCTGTTACTACCTCTCGTTCCAAATCTACAAAGCTGTTCACTAAGATCCCATCAAGTGAACAGTACTTTTTGCATGCATGAAGGATTGTTTTGTAAGCTTGACTAGATCTTTCTTGAACTGGATCCATAAGATCCTTTCCTTGGAGGCATATGCAACCTGTAGAAATTTAGATGTTAACACAATACTCAATTCAACTTGAAATACCTCCCACCAAATTAAAAAGATGTCTTTTGGTGTGAGAATTCAGCATAAATTTATTTTGCAATCTGGAAGTTTCAAAGGTTGTGACAAGTTTTGGAATCTAGTAGGAACCATCTCGTGATTCTCATCAAGTTCTAGAAAATGGAGGCAGAAAGACAGTAAAGTCGTTGAACAAGGAAATAAAATATATGACTTGAGTTTGAGTTCTTTTGCTACGTCTATTGCATCCATTGAGAAGAAATCAACAACCATCGCCACAAGGTGATGAGTTGCATAATATAATGAACTCAAAGCATGACGAAGAAATGGAAGAGAGAGTGTGACAGTGTTGTAACTTTGTGTTTCTGTGTTTTGAGCTTTGAGGTCTTCCATGTTGATTTGTGGAAGAATAGTAAAGTCTATTTGTGGTGGGATAGATTCGAAGATGGAAATGATAGCTGGAGAAGGAGGACCAAGTGTAGGGATGGAGAAGGCGAGGTGGAAGTGAGGTTGATGAACGGCGAGTCGTTTTGAGAACTCAATAAGTGGATGGAGATGGCTAAAGCCTGGAGCTGGAACCATGGCTATGCAAGGGCTCTTTCCCTCCATTGAGCTCTTTCGAAGTGATTGAATATGGATTTCTTCTGATGCCTTTTTATAGGATCTTTTTAGCTAAATTTTTTGTACATAGAAATATTGATGATGCATATTCAAAGTTTTACCGACCAAACAATGAGAGACAAAATATAAGACCCGCGTAATTATTCATAAGATGTGTCATACTCATAAATCTCTTTCGTTCACTTTACGCGTGTTCCTTGTAATTGATACTCATCCAATCCTTAATATAATATTTGATTAGCTAATTTAGATAGATTAAGGATGTTAGTTAAATTAGTTAGTATGATATCTTATTTTTAAAACACCTTAAGCATCCTTCTAATTTTCTCCCTATCTCTTCTACTTGATTATTGTTAAGAAAATATCAATATAATTTATTTAAGAAAAAATTGATAAAACATATGAAATATGTCTTGCAAATTGGACTCATATCAACCCCACAATTAAGTCCTATAAGGACTGGAGGACTATTATGTTTCATTCGTTTCTATAATTCTTTTGGTGCACTGCAATATATATTGTGATAGCTTGGATGCGAACAAGAGATCAGGAAGATCAAAGATGTTGAGTAGATGGGTATTTTGCCTCGTCAATATGTGTGTGTGTGTGTGTGTGTATTCCACGGTTTATTTTCGAGTGTGCCCCTCTCTCCCCGATTAGGTGTGGTTTTCCTTTATTATCATTTATTTATTCATTTTATCTTCTGCGTGGAAATATTCTAGAATTAGTTAATTCTGTTTTATTAATATTAATTCTAGCACATTTCCATAATCTGTTCCTTAAATTGACGTCTCTACATTGTTAGCTTGCCAATCTTCATATGGAATTGAGTCCTCACATACTCCGAAGAGTCATCAAATAAAGAAAAAGAACACATTTTGTAGGATTTGAATATACAGATGCACAAAATTATTCTGTGAAGAACCTAGCAGGATAACATCACTCACTCATGAAGGAAAAACTAATGTTACCTAAATCTTTTTCATTCATACGCTAAGTTAGAAAGCATCCTCGTAGAAGTTCCTTCTTCACTAATGGCTTTAGCAGCAGTTTCTTTAAGCACTCGAATTCTTGTTTGAAGTTCTCTACCTGCCTCACCTTCCATTACAATCCTCACAACCCTCGAAACTTCCTCTCTCACTACAATCCCATTCTTATAATTCTCATCAACTTTTGGCCTCACTGCAACCTTAAGCTGCTCAACTAACATAACTGCATTCATTCTCTGCTCTGCAAATGGTGGCCACACAATCATTGGCTTGCCATAGACCGTAGCCTCAAGTATGGAGTTCCAACCACAATGTGTCAAGAACCCACCAGTTGACTCATGTCTCAAAACTTCAATTTGTGGGGCCCATGGTGGGACCACAAAGCCTTGACCCTTGCTTCTCTCTAGAAACCCTTTTGGCAAGTACTCAAATGGATTCTCCCTTTTTGCACTTAAATAAGCTGAACTAGGTGACATACTTGGAGCCCTCAAGACCCATAAGAACTTGTGGCCACTCATCTCTAACACCAAGGCTAGTTCATGAAGTTGGTCATGTGAAAGTGTTCCGCCACTAGCAAAAGAGACATATAGAACTGAGTTTTGTGGCTGATTTCCCAACCAAGTTAAACATTTTAAGTTCGACTTGTTTATAATAGTTGAGGTTGTCTGCAGGATGGGTCCTACTGGATAAAGAAAAGGGTATTTATTACTACCTCCAGTCCTTAATATAAAATCCTGTTTGACATTTATTTTGGTCGTAAATATAAGACACCAATCCATTTTATCTCTTATATTTACTCAATTTTTTCCAAGATAGTCCTTTTAATAATTATAGTTCTAGTTAATACACTTGATTAGTAAAGATATTTTAGGAAAGACAACACATATTTAGGACAAATAACTAACTCAACTTACTTCCTTAATCTCCTCAAATTAATCAACTGGCTCTTATAATTAGGACCAGAGGTAGTATTGCTTTCCTGCAAAGCTTTTATTGCCTCTTGTTCTAGATCTTGGAAGCTATTCACTATGATACCATCAGCAAAACGGAGTCGTTTGCTTGCATGAAGGAGTGTTTTGTAGGAGTCACTCGATCTTTCTGGAACCGGACGTGGGAGATCCTTGCCTTGAAAAGCTACACAACCTACAAAGTTTTTTTTTTTTTTTTTGAATTAGAGGATAGGCGCTAACGTACAATCTGAGATTAATTAAACCTATAACCTCATTTTTCATGTCATTAGACTACAAAATTATTAGTAATTTTTATGTGAGCAAAGACGACTCTTCTCACACACTTATTTTAAACATCATAAAATCACTTCTAAAAAAATCAATACAAACACCCCTTTACACTAATTCCCAATCCTATTATAAGTTCACTTTTTGAAATTTCTTTTAATTTATATATGTCAATATGACGACGAAAGTTGTTTACTTTTCATAGGGGGAAAAAAACAAAAATGATTACCATACGAAACTAAATTTATCACTGTTAAATACATATTACTTAACCTAAGATCACTATCTATGTGATTTTATGTTTTGAAATCTGTTGAACAATCAAGTCATGGCTAATACCATTGACTTATGAAGACAAATTATTTTTATAATTTTTTTTTTTTTTGCCTTGGCACGTCACAAAAAGAAAAGTATAAAATGATTCACATGTGAAAAGGTCAAAACGTAACCAAAGCGTACGAAAAACAAAGAATATCTTTCAAAAAGTTACCAGAGCGTTAAAAAAAGGACGCACAGACACAAACACAAAGTTATCTCTTTTTAAAAAATAATATATAAATTCATTACATCCACATCTAAATTGCTTCAAATAAAAGTTTTGCAACCTGGAAGTTTCAGAGGTTGTGATGACTCTTGAAAACCTGTGGAAACCATCTCGTGATCCTCGTCAAGCTCTGGAAAACGCAGGAAGAAACACAGCGAAGTAACAGATGAAGAATGAAAAACATATGACTTGAGGTTGAGTTCCTTTGCTATTTCTAGCGCATCTGCTGAGAACAAATCAGCAACCATTGCAACAAGATGATGAGTTCGAGAACTAATAAATGAGCTTAACTCATGACGAAGAGAAGGAAGAGAGCGAGTCACAGTGAGATGGATTTGAGTTACTGGCTCATTATTGTTAGCTTTGAGGTCCTCGTCCATGTTGATGTGTGGGAGAATAATGAAGTCTATTTGTGGTAATAGGGATTGGAAGATGGAATGTGTTGCAGGATAGGGAAGGCCAAGTATGGGGATGAAGAAGGTGATGTGAAAGTGAGGGTGGAAAACGACGAGTCGTTTTGAGAACGCGATGAGTGCTTGGGGAAGGCTAAAGCCTGGAGATGGAACCATGGCTATGCAAGGGTTCTTTTTCTCCATGGAAGATTGTTGATAGCTTTGGGAGGTTACTATTAAACGACGCTTTTCCTGAAGATGGACAGATTTGGATGGATCAGTCTTTAAGTCGTTTTTTTTAACCCTTATGGGTATATATGTACACATATACGCACACATTTCTATGAACACATAAAAAGCTGGAGTCCAAAAAGACAAGAATGCTCTCTATATTGCTGCTGTTGTTTTTCACCCACTGAAAATGGATTTGACGAGCCATTGGCAAAAACTATGAGATGAGCAAAAAATATATATAATATAAAATGAAAAAAGAAATGCAGAGCACAGGTTGGGATTTAAAATTATCAGCATCAGCCCATCGATTCCCAAAACCGGTGCCAATTGTAACTTAGCTTGTATGGTCAGCAATATATTACACATTTTTTATCCTATGGGTATATACACACACACATTTCAATGAACACATAAAAAGCCGAAGTCCAAAAAGATAAGAATGCTTTCTAGTGAAAATGGATTTGACGAACCACTGACAAAAAAAATATCAGCTAAAATAAAATAAAATACAAAATACAAAATTGCAGACCACAGGTCGGGATTTAAAACTATCAGCATTAGCCGATCGTTTCCTAAAGCAGACGCCAAGGCTAACTTGTATGGTAAGCTATGTATTACATTCTTTTTATGATAAACAAACTCGTATTAACAGTAAAAAAGTAAAGTACATAATTATGGTTTGTTAACTGAGGAAGAAAAAGGCGAAGGATACAGAAACATATATCATCATGGAGTGCAAAAACTTCAATAATGACAAAAGACTGAGTAGAGAGGAAAAATATGAACGGCAATGGTTCCATTTGCTCTAAAAGAATTTCTTGACAATGTTTTTTTTTTTAACAAATTAAAGGTGAGACACTAACAATACAAAATTACAAGCGAAATTGTAGTTACAATCTCCCATTCTTAAGAGTTTTCGTGCCATAAGGCTGTATGTAGCACAAAGTGCTAAAGCAATTTCCCATGTGAGACACTTTTTTTTGCTTTTTAGGTAAGTTAGGTCCTGATAGCTTACTAGGACTAGGGTATACTTCCAAGCTCAAATAGTGCTTACAAAGGTATGCTTATAGATTGTCCACCAAGTCTTTACACGAATTTTAAGCTCATAAATTTATGGGTTATGAATTAACCCCTTACCAACCAACCAACTCTTGTTGACTCCTATGTGAGAAACTAATTATAAAGTATTGAGTTTGCAACGCCTAGGGCTTGGAAATATTTCACAATGGAGGCCTAATGGGATACGGAGTAATAATTAATTGGGATTTTTAGATATTGTAGTTATTTAGTATTATCAGGGAATATTTGGTTTTAATTTTAATTTGATTGTTATCTTTTATCATTAATTGTTATTTGCATTTAAGTTTGAAATTCTAGAATGCTCTGTCTAGGGTTAGCTTGAGGCTTAAAAATAGCTACGCCTTTAATTATAGATTAAATAATTTTGAGTATTGAGTTTTCCCCTTCTCTCTCTATTCCTCTTGTTCCTCCCTCCTTTAGTCTCTCTCCTCTCCTTCTCTTTCCCTCTTTTCTCCCTTTTCCTTCCCCTTCCTGCATCAATGGCATCAAAGCCTGGTTCTCACGATTAATATAATGGGCCTGAGTATTGGGCCCTAAGCTCACTTTTTGTTACGAAGTTTGTTTAATTCACTTAATAGCATCTAATTACTTGATTGAGTTATAAAACCAAACCTAATGCACATTATACATAATTTGAATCTTTCATCATAGTGAGAGGTTGATCAGTTCTCTTTGAAAACTTCTTTCTCTTAATTAAATCTATATTTGTGCATGGTATTAGAGTCAAGTTATGATGCTACCTGGGAGAAGATTCTTCAACCACTCCTTATTAGCACCCCCTTTTAATGAAAATGGAAATAATCATAAGTATATTGCATCTTTAGATGCTCCATTGATCTTAAAGTTGAGCACAGTTGCAAAAATTCTCTTATGTGCTCATAAGGATCCTTTGTTTCATTGCCTTCAAATTAAAATATTTTTATCAACATAATGACGGCCAAATTAATCTCAAAATGAGTAGTAGGAATCAAAGGTAGTACAATGCTTGACTGAATCACATCAATTGAAGGCACTAGCTTTGGCTGAGGCGTCTCCATCTCTTCTGAAGTGTGGGACACGTGTCTGACTTCAAGTAGAAGCAACAGAATCACGAGAGAGCCTTGACGGAGCGAGAGCGAGAGCCCTATGTTGCTATGTCATAAGCCACGTAGGTATGTCATAAGCAACGTAGGTAAGTGATCTAGCCAAGGCGTAAGCAAAAGCAAAAGCCAATAAACAAGAGGATAACTAAGCAGAGAGATAGAAGCTTCAAACCTTACAGAGTTGCTTCTATTCGGAGAGAAGAGCGATGCTAGCGACGAGGCTGCTTCTTCGTCTAACACGCAACAAGCAGTGTACAGCAAGAAAATGGAGGCCCAGTTTTTGTAAAGGAATTTTTTTAGTTTACTTAACAACATCTGGTTACACGATTGAGTTATAAAACCAAAAATAATGCTCATTGTAATGTCAATCTTTCATCATAATGAGAAGTTAATCAGTTCTGTCTGAAAGCTTCTTTCTCCTAAATCTATATTCATGCATGGTATCAGAGTCAGGTTTCGATGCTGCATGAGAAAAGATTCTTTAGCCACTCCTTAGCACGTTCAATGAAAATAAAAATAATAAAAAAATGTATTGTATATGTAGATGCTCCATTGATCTTAAAAGTCAAGTGATGTGTTCAATTATTTATATATATTAATTGATGCATTTTTGAGCTCATTTGGTATGTTTAATGGTTATAAATTATATTATTGATGAATAAATTTTATTAAGAATTAATGCATGAGTTATTAGGAAAATGGGTAAAAATGTTATTATTTTGATGATTATTTAGATATATGGTATTACAGTGTATTTATATGACCCGCATGACATTTTGGTCATTTTGGAGAGACCGGAAAAATCATAAAGGAGGACCTTAGATTTATTTTAAAAAAAAAAAGAAGAAGGAGAAGATGCAAAACGCAGTGTTGCAACTTAGGGTTGGGATGAGCATCATCATCTTGAGAAACCACCATATACACACCCCACAATCATCATCATCATCCACATCTTCTTTTGGAATGACCTTCACCATCTGCGAGAGAGAGAGAGAGAGAGAGAGAGAGAGAGAGAGAGAGAGAGAGAGAGAGAGAGAGAGTGACAGAGTTGAGATAGCGAACACCAATGGTTAAACCAGTGAGACCCTTCTTTCCTTTTTTCTCCATGGGCGCGATGCATAGTGAATTTGTTTTAGCAAAATTCAAATTCGTGTAGCTAATTTCATCAAGCTTCTTGGAGATGGAGGATTGGGTTTGAGCTTCAAAGTTAATTATGGAAGTTTTTTTTTATAATTCTTTTGATCTAATTAAGCAATGGATTTTCTGAGTTAAAATTGATATTATTTGATTAAATTTTTTGAGAGTACTAGTTGTATTTCTTAGTTTGGGATTGAATTTTTGTGATTGGGATTGGAATTTTGCGATTTGAGATTAACACACACATTCACACAAACACACACACACACACACACACACACACACATATCCTGTTTGAAGTTCTATGCGGATATATCTTTCTTTCATAGTTTGGATAAATTTTATAATTGCATGGCACTTGTCAAATATCTCAAGAGAAGTGTTCTTTGTCTAGAGACCCAAATTGTATTAATCTAATCCTAATTGCACATTAATCAGTTTTCCAGAGTATTTTTAATTAGTGGTTGTAGCTAGAGTTCTAGGACATTTATAAAGTAAGATTACTTGACTTAATTAGTGATTAAGGTTTTAATTTTAAATTAGTGAACAAAATAACTCCCAGATCATTTTGAGTAAAGATAACCCAATTTCTATTTTCCAAAAAGCATTCTCTAATATTTCCCTAAATCCAAATTTTATCTTTTTCTATCTTTTGAGTTAATTTAATTTAATTTGACCCCAAAGTGACATTGAGATCATCAAGCACAACTGTAAAAGAAAAGAAAAGAAAAAAATAAATTAAAAAATAAAATAATAAAAGGGGGGAGCAAAACGCTGCGTTTTGCTCCACCCCTAATATATATTATTACAATCTTCTTCTTCATCTTGGCGGAAGCTGAACGAGGCGGCACGCACAGAGCTCGACGGCGACGAATAGGGAGAGAGAGCTGACGACGGGGGCTCAGTTTTGAGCCATTCTCTCCCATCCCCACCGTCTTCTTCTTCGCTGAATCTCCTGGTGGCAGACAGATCAGCGACGGCAGCAAGACGAACACGGGAGCTGGGCGGCGGCAAGGAACACAAGACCCACGAACGAGCAGAGGAGACGTGAGAAAAACAGGGGCGGCTGGCAGTATTCGAATAATAACCTTCATTTGGCGGAAGAGGAGGCGCACACGAAACACGCACACACGACAGAACCAGCAGAACGAACAGCACGAGCACGACAGATTCACCGTGAACAGTGTTCTTCCATGGGATCCTGTAGCAAAGTTCTGAATATGGCATTTCTCATGACAAACCGTGGCTAAGATCCTCTAATTCTCCAATTTAACAACAATGGCAGGAGCTTGGATCTTCAAATGGGAGTTTTAGTTGCTTTAATTTCTTACTCAATAATTGTTTAACAATTCCTAGATCTTAGGAAAGTTTTTCTGATTGTTGGGATAATTGTATTGCTTAATCTGATTATATTTGGAGATTATTGTGACTGGATTATTGCTTAGCATTTGCCATTGGGCTGTTATAGCTTTGATTTCAATTATAATGTTGTGGTTATGACATTTGTATTGATTTTGGAGTTAATATATTGTGATTTTCTAAGGTGGCTTGGAATTTTGGATCATATTGTCTCTTGCTAGCTTTAATTCTGTTATTTTGGATTTAAGAGTTCTAATTAAGCATTGGTTTTTAGCATCCTTAATCCTATTTTACTATTCTGGTTGCAGTTAGTAAGTTGGGATTTTAGGAAAATATTTTGTGGCAACTCGAGGTGGCTCGGTTGTTGGATTAAAAGCTTAATTATAATTCTTAATTCATTGTTTTAACTCCCACATCTTTTAGAGTGA